CAGTATTTTGTTTTCAACATTTCATAGGTATTGGTTGCTGAAATTTGTTGATTGGATGTTGAAGCTCATTCGCTGTATTTGAAGGACTGTTACCCTATAGGTGGAGAATAACGGACTGTTAATTTGACAACCTTGGTAAAATCCACCCTTATGTATATTGTTAAAATACTGAAAACTTTGGAAGAATCTAAAACCACTACCGACACGGCATACACCATTTCCGATTATTAAATTTCTGCATGGATTAAATGAAACCATAAATGCAATTTCTATCGTAATAATGAGATTCTAAGCAAAGGTGAGCGACAAACGTCCTTGACGGTCGCTAACACAAGATAACAGGTGGTGGTTAACTATGAGGCAATCTTGATTTATTTATTGTAGCTAAAACGGCACTATGCCATTTTATAGCCCAGTAATGATAGTTTTATCGTTCACTGCCACTGTGCGAGTTATTTCTGTGAAAAACGGTGAATATTTCAATCTTCCTGATGAATAATAATAATAATAATAATAATAAAATGTCTTTATTAGGCACATTATATAAACTACAACATAATGTGACCTCTACGTAGGCGAAGTCTAGCTCTTGGCTACTCTACTTAACCTACCCAAATACTTAATTGAAACACTCAATCAAAGGAAACTTTGACAAGCAAAACACGCTTCAAAACAACGAGCTTGATAGCTTCCTAGCATACATATATACACACATATATTACGTAAAATAAAATAAAATGTAAGAATTAAAAACTAACTTTTCCACAATTACTACAATGACAAATAAATCTGTTTCACATGCTTACGAAATCTTTTTACTGGCCAATCCTTTATATTGTCATCTAATTCGTTATAAATCAGGATAGCATTGTAAGTGTATGAACTACGAAATAAAGTTGTTTTATACATAGGGATCTCTAGTCTTTTTTTGTGTCTGAAATCAATGTCAGAATTATTTCGTCTAAAAACAAATTTCTCATAAAGATACAAGGGAGATCTAGAAGATATGATCTTATGTGTAAACACTGCTATATGGTACTTGCAAGCATTTTCTATACACATCCAACCAAGCTGAAATCTCTTTAAGGAAACATGATCATACTTCTTGAGATTAAATACAAATCGACAACAAGTATTTTGGAGTTTTTGGAGTCTTGCTTTTGTGATAGAATCAAGACAATGATAGAACACAGTGCTACAGTAAAATAAGCTTGGAAATATAATAGCCTCACATAACTTTTTTCTAACTTTAAAATTCAAAATAGAGAGATTGACATAAAAACACTTCAAAGTTGCATAACATTTTTTTAAGATAGACGAAACATGCTCCTTAAACGTAAAGTATAATCAATAATCAACCCTAAATTTTTTGTAGTATTTACGACAGCTAGACGCTCCTTGTCAATTTTTACATCAAGAGAATACAATATAGTGTTACGTTTGACAGCAGGACAAAAAAGCATCACTGAGCACTTATCCTTATTGAGCTTAAGATTGTTACCATTTGAGTATCCTACTATTGCCTCCAAATCATCATTAAGCTCATTGATTGAAGTATGCAAACTGTTACTATTAAAGCTCTTATATATCTGTGTATCATCGGCATAGCACATCACAGAAGAGTTTTTCACAGAGCTACCCAAGTCTATAGTATAAATTAAGTACAACAAGGGCCCTAAAACTGAACCCTGAGGGACACCTGATGCAATAATAGCGAAATATTTACACGCGTCTCTGGATATACCAGTGCTGAGGTCTGCAGAGTTACGAGGTTAGCCATAGCAACGTTGACATGACGTCGGTACTGTCGGTAAGAGTGGTAGGAAATGTCTTGATCGCAGCGTTGTCGAATGGATGGTAACTGAGGCCTTATTATTATGGGTCCGTTCAAACATGTCCGTGGTTGAGTTTTGTCTTCTCTTCTTCTTGATACTGACGAAAAGGGCTGCGTAGTTTTTAGTGTAGACGGAATGGTTTCAAAAATTAGGGTTTGGTATATTTATACACTTCCAATTCTACGCAAATACATATTTCACAAATCCTATAATTGCTCATACATTTGCGCATAAGGTTATAGAACAATATTTTCAACACGCGCAACGCAACGAACTATCACTTCAGTTGGTCCACTTCAAGATTTGTACCTACATATGCCTTTATAAACTAAACATGACGAAACTATTTACTTCTAAAACAATTTATTTTCTCAAAAACATTTTAGATACACTCTAGTCGTAAAAAATACATATTACTTAGACCTATGACTAATAGAGCATCTGAACAACCAAACAATGTGCGAATATATGCGCGAAGTTAACAAACCAACAATTGAAATATTACCATTACGGCTGAAATTCTTTGGGGCATAGTGTTAACCAAGTTTTTTAAAAAATTTGGTGTAAAACAATCCCATATTTCTTGAAGCTTTTGTCTCAGTTCGGTGATTGTACGAGCAGGATGTTGTCGTAGAACCTTTTTCATCTCGTGCCACAAAGTTTCAATAGGTGACAGATCTGGACTACCAGAAACCCATTTCAAAAGTGGTACATTATTTTCTTCCATACATTTTATAGCCTTTTTTGAGGTATGGCACGCTGCACCAACTTGCTGAAATACAAAATCTTGGCCGGATGTCAAACATTCTTCTAAAATTGCCAAATATTTGTATGTATCCACATTTCCATCAATAAAATGAAGTTTTCCTACTCCTTTTGATGACATACTGCCCCAGACCATAATGGATGCTGGAAATTTCACTTTTCTCTTCAGCCAGTCAACATGGACTGCTTCATTTTTTGTGTGAATAACTCTACTGCGACTGTCACCAACACAAACTTCGAATGGGGCCTCATCACTCCATTGTATTGCACACCATTGTTGAGGTGTCCATTGTCTATGTTCTTTAGCCCATCTAAGACGATTTTTCTTTTGCAGTGGAGTTACCTTGCAAGTGCTAAATCCAAGTTTGTGGGCCTCTCTATGAGTTGTGGACCTCGAAATTCTCCCTCCAACAGCGTCACTCCACAGAGCACTTAGTTGTAAATAATTGGCACGTCTGTTTTTCAGGATTATTCTTCTTAATGCTCTTCGGTCGGCATCTGTGATATTACCTTTTTCACATATCGTGGCTTAATATTAACTGAACCAGTTACCTTATATCTTCTACCAATATTTCTCACACTGTACCGCGATAAGTCTAACAAAGTTGGAATTTCTGAGTTTGTTTTCCCAGAATTAAAAAATTTAATTATCAGTAACCGAATTTTCTCACTAATAACCTTTCCTCTACCCATTTTCAAAACCTTAACTACCAAAACTATTTTAAACGTATTCTGACAGCTGTGATTAATAAAAACAATTGTCATGGCTTTTATTTTTCACAGCCACCTATGCGTTATACCTGTAGACTTATTTTGCATTGAAATGAAAATAGGTCGATATGCTGCACTTGCAACGTGTGTTATTTTTGTGCTGCAAATTTGATTAGGGAGTGATAAAGTTGGTGTTTTCTACTATATATTATCAAAATATTCATTGTTAATATTTTAAACTTTTAACACCCTACTACATTTTTATTATTTGTGTTTGATAAGAAAAAAACTAAGATTTCAACTGAAGTGGGAAGGGGCTCGTACATATGTCAAGCGAGTGACGAGGTTAGTCGCAGCAACGTTGCCATGTTGTCGGTAAGGCTGGTGAGAAATTTCTGGATCGCAAGGTTGTCAAATAGATGGTACTCTGGACCAACTGTATGAGCCTGTTTGACTAATTTGATCCGTTTAATGCTATTTGTTAACCATCTTTGTAGCAATCTTTTTTTCTAACAGGGGCTAACTTGATAGAGTTTCTAAGTCCATTAACACAATTTCAATTTCAAGCGGAAAAGTTCGTGGCATAAATCTGTGAGCGAATTTTCTATTATTACCTCAGTCATTTTTAGACCTTTTTTTTCAAAAATATACCCATTGAACCGGATTAAAATAATATATGTATATCCGATATTGGAGGAATGAAAGTATACCAAGTGCATAAACGCCTATTGCGACACGGAACTGCAAATAGTTTGCAGTTAAATAAAAAAAATTAATTTGCACAACCTCACGCACTATAGATACTTGTACATACGGTGATCGAGGGATGTAGCAACAGCCGGTTGAGGCAACTTAACCGTTTTATTGACTATAAGGAGAAAAGGTCTCGTGCGTCGCTGAATCGAAGAGAAAATCTAGACGCACGATTGCGCACAAGGCTACGGCTACGGCTTTCAACAATGAACTACACTTGCTACATGAAATTTGCAGGCAGCGCCTATAAACAGATAATCAAATTCGAGTTCAATGTGTACGAGAGAGAAGTGTGTAAAGACACATATGTTAGAAAGAGATAGAAGCCGGCTAGCAACGCTGACGCACCAATTCCTTGAATCAAGATGCGTGTTGAAAATATGCATTATTTTATTCTTTATGCCTCAAATTCTGCATCATTGTGTCATTGGTTCGCGTGGCAACACCGCATCTCGTACATTCCACGGCAAGGTTTCCACCTCCATAATCATACGTGAGCGATTTTGGTCCAATACCTATTGAGCGCTTATTGGGGAGTGTCACCCTGCTTCAAAATGGTTTTCACCTGTAGACTTCAAAACATATCGTAACATTTCCGATGTAATCATACCGAATGATTCCATTACAAATTCTCGTACCTGCTGCTCAGTTTCGAGAATATGATGATGAACTTCGTTTTTAATTAAGCCCCAAACAAAAGAGTCCAGAGGTTTAAAATCCGGGGAACGCGCTAGCCAGGACACTGGAATTCCCAATTCACCTTCCAAGCAAACCGCTGAGAAATATACTCTCGAACTTACCTAGAGTTATGTGGAGGAACATTGTCTTGTTGAAAATAACCTGTGCCAAAGGTAAATTATCCAGGCAGATCAGGGCTGTTCAACATACGGCCCGCGGCCTGCTTCACGGGTTGCCGAAAAATTTGAAACAGTCTCAGTATCGCATCAAACAATTGCAAGACCATATCAATGAACATGTATCCAAAAAATTGCGTGGCGTGGTTGAAAAATGTAAATATTTTGCGCTATGCCTGGATGAAAGCACTGATCTGTCTGACATTAGCCATTCAAGACGACTTCAGTGTAGCAGAGGAGATGCTTGACCTTATTCCTCTCCACGGTACAACCAAGGGTACAGATATTTTTGAAGCTGTAAATAAGTTGATGTCAGACTACGGGGGATTTGATAAATGTTCCTGTATTGTCACTGATGTCGCCAGAGCTATGACAGGGACTGAAATTGGATTTGCAGGACTATTGAAACAAAACAGCATCAACTGTCCTATGATATACTAAGTGACATATAAATCCGAACACCCAGTTTAAATGGTTTTATTTTAATAAAAGTTGGTTAATGTTTTTATCTTACTGTAAATAACAAGTGAAAAAATGTTCAGCCTTATCAGTTGGACATTCCGGTTTTTATACTGCTTTTTTTAATTCACTAACGCAGTAAAGAATCAACGTTGGCGGATTTTGGTTCTTGACATCCTTTACGATCGGTTACGATGCCTAGAGTACGGAGACCTGTACGATGTCGTCAACTTAGTGCGTTTTGGGGCCGTATAATGGGAATTCGGGAAGCTGGACTTTCTTTTCGGGCAATAGCAGTTAGAGTGCAAAGAAGTGTCGACACTGTGGTTAGGTGTTGTCAGGCATGGCTTCGAGAAGGCCGTACGCAAAGAGCAAGGGGCACTGAACGCCGCCGTAGAACAACAGACCGTGAAGATCGCCGCCTAAGATTATTGGCCTTAAGGGACCGTTTCTCCACTACCAGGTCCATTGCAAATGAATGGTTTGCAGAACACGGAAGACCTATTGGCATGCGAAGTGTTTACCGACGAATGAGAAGGTTTTGGCTTGTTTTACACCGACGTAATCGCCTTGAGTGGTGCAGACAACGATCACTCTGGGATCAGGAATGGAACAGTATTGTCTTTAGTGACGAGTCTCGATTTTGTTTAGGCATACACGATGGTCGTGCCAGGGTTAGAAGGCGACGTGGTGAAAGGAGGAATCCACAGTTTTTTGTTGAAAGACATGTTCATCACACTGTTGGAGTTATGGTTTGGGGTGCTATAGCTTATGGTTCCAGGTCACCTTTAATCTTCATCAGAGGTAACATGAACGCGCAGCGTTATATCCACGAAGTTCTAGTACCCCATCTTTTACCCTACCTTGACACCCTGGCAGATCCAACTTTCCAACAAGATAATGCCCGACCACATGTTGCAAGAGTCACAATAGACTTCTTTCAACATAATGATGTCACATTGTTACCATGGCCACCAAGATCGCCCGACTTATCCCCAATTGAGCACGTGTGGGATATGATGGGTAGGAGATTGCTCAATTTGCAACGTCCTCCTCAGACTCTAGAAGCACTTCGAGAGGAGTTGGTGGTTGCCTGGAATGAGATACCACAGGAGGACATTGACCACCTGATCAGAAGCATGCCTAGGCGCGTTGGAGAATGTGTAGCACATTAGGGTGCATCCACACATTATTAAAGGTCAAAGGGCTTTAAAGCAGTGCAATCATTTTGAAATTTTTATCATTTACTTATTATGCTTCATTAAGTACTTATACAAAATTTTATTAAAATAAAACCATTTAAACTGGGTGTTCGGATTTATATGTCACTTAGTATACATTGTATTGTTCACCAAGAGAGCTTATGTGGAAAATCTTTCCGTAAATAAATGTCACGAATGTGGCTGTTAAAATAACTAATATTGTTAGAGGGGCAATCGTGCTTTGATTCACAGAAAGTTTCGTGATTTTTTGGCCGAAGTGGATGCTACATACGGGGACTTGTTACTTCACACCGATGTTCGTTGATTAAGCGCCGCAAAGTGTTTGCAACGATGTTTCGCTCTTCGCAAGGAAATTCCTATTTTCCTTAAAAATGAAGTGAAGTCCGTCACTACGGAACTGGAAAATCAAATGGCAGATGCACAATTTTTAGCAGACCTTGCATTTTTAACAGACATGACATCTCACCTTAACGAATTGAATTTGAAGCTACAAGGAAAACAGCAGAATATTGCCAGCTTATTCGGACACATAAATGGGTTTAAGAATAAAATTAAGCTTCATTACAAAAAAACGATTTTTCATTTTTTCCAAGTCGTAAAGAACATTTCGAAGAAATGAAGGATTTTGAGGAACTTTCATATTTACCTCATATAAAATACATTGACACAATTGCAGAAGAATTCAAAAATCGATTTAGTGACTTCAAAAAAATCGAAAGCGACATTTCAGTTTTTACTCAGCTACTAACAATTTATGTTGAGAACGTAAGCAGAGCAGACCTTCAACTGGAATTGTGTGATTTGCTATCAGATCCTTTTTACCAAGGAAGCACTGAAACTGGCTTGGACTTTTTTAAGTTACTGCCAGGAGAACGATACCCCAACTTGCGAAACTTAGGACTTACAATGGGATCAATGATGGGAAGCACGTATCTTTGCGAAAGCAGCTTTTCAAACATGAAATTTATCAAGTCAAAGTATAGATGTTCCCTGATAAGTCACTTAGTCAGTTACTTCGTTTATCAACAACAAATATTAATGTTAATACTGATGCATTAGTATTAGAAAACCAACGTCCTCAAATGTCCCACTGATTTTTTTGTAATTTCATATTTTTTGAACAAATAAAAATAATAGAAAAACTATTTTTTACCATATAGTATAGTATATACCTATTAAAACTCAGTAATAATGTTGTACAGAAAGATTTTATAATGCGGCCCTCCAAACTGCATTTTTTTTGAAGTGACCCTTGGGTCACATTAAGTTGGACAGCCCTGTTGTAGATCATGTGACGATACTTGACGGTACCGTTCTGCAGTTAATAAGTTGTGGTAAACATACGGACAATGTATTGGTCCCAGAATTCCACACCACATATACTAAGTGACATATAAATCCAAACACCCAGTTTAAATGGTTTTATTTTAATAAAATTTTGTATAAGTACTTAATGAAGCATAATAAGTATATGTAAATGATAAAAATTTCAAAATGATTGCACTGCTTTAAAGCCCTTTGACCTTTAATAATGTGTGGATGCACCCTGATGTGCTACGCATTCTCCAACGCGCCTAGGCATGCTTCTGATCAGTTGGACAATGTCCTCCTGTGGTATCTCATTCCAGGCAACCACCAACTCCTCTCGAAGTGCTTCTAGAGTCTGAGGAGGACGTTGCAAATTGAGCAATCTCCTACCCATCATATCCCACACGTGCTCAATTGGGGATAAGTCGGGAGATCTTGGTGGCCATGGTAACAATGTGACATCATTATGTTGAAAGAAGTCTATTGTGACTCTTGCAACATGTGGTCGGGCATTATCTTGTTGGAAAGTTGGATCTGCCTAGGGTGTCAAGATAGGGTAAAAGATGGGGTTCTAGAACTTCGTGGATATAACGCTGCGCGTTCATGTTACCTCTGATGAAGATTAAAGGTGACCTGGAACCATAAGCTATAGCACCCCAAACCATAACTCCAACAGTGTGATGAACATGTCTTTCAACAAAAAACTGAGGATTCCTAATTTCACCACGTCGCCTTCTAACCCTGGCACGATCATCGTGCATGCCTAAACAAAATCGAGACTCGTCACTAAAGACAATACTGTTCCATTCCTGATCCCAGAGTAACCGTTGTCTGCACCACTCAAGGCGATTACGTCGGTGTTCTCGAGTTAAAGGGAGGACCCAGTGTGGCCGGTATGAAAACAAGCCAAAACTTCTCATTCGTCGGTAAACACTTCGCATGTCAATAGGTCTTCCGTGTTCTGCAAACCATTCATTTGCAATGGACCTGGTAGTGAAGAAACGGTCCCTTAAGGCCAATAATCTTAAGCGGCGATCTTCACGGTCTGTTGTTCTACGGCGGCGTCCAGTGCCCCTTGCTCTTTGCGTACGGCCTTCTCGAAGCCATGCCTGACAACACCTAACCACAGTGTCTACACTTCTTTGCACTCTAACTGCAATTGCCCGAAAAGAAAGTCCAGCTTCCCGAAGTCCCACTCACTAAGTTGACGAAATCGAACAGGTCTCCGTACTCTAGGCATCGTAACCGATCGTAAAGGATGTCAAGAACCAAAATCCGCCAACGTTGATTCTTTACTGCGGCTAAAATATTCATTTTTAGAGCGTTAGTGAATTAAAAAAAAGCAGTATAAAAACCGGAATGTCCAACTGATAAGGCTGAACATTTTTTCACTTGTTATTTACAGTAAGATAAATACATTCACCAACTTTTATTAAAATAAAACCATTTAAACTGGGTGTTCGGATTTATATGTCACTTAGTATAACAATACTCGGTGACAGGTATTTACGTCAAGAGAAACGTTTGTTTTCAACGCCATCTTGAAAAAAAACGCGTTTGTTTTTATAACCATCGTTGAATTTAAATGAAAAATTGCTATTAGATACAGGGTGTACCCTTTTTTGGGACCATAAGTTTATGATGGTTTCTTGAAAACGACCCGTCGGGCACAAAATTTAAAAACACCATCATGTAGTGCCAAAAAAGTGCCAATTTAAAAGTTACATTAGTTTTTTATATTTCTTGAAATAAAGTCAGAAAAGAATAAAAATGAACTGGTAAAATTTTAGTTTTTCAACGGCATGTAAATATGCCCCAATTTCCTAATTAAAACATAATTTCTCATAGATTAACCAAAACAGATTTGGAAATTAGGATTTTTATTACTCGTTTTATCTCACATTCGGAATTGTTCACAATTATTATAATGCTTTACCGGCTGACCATCTATCTAAAGTGAGTAGTCCCATCAATTACTTGTGTCAGTAAAACCCAAAAACGTTTGTCTGAATGTTTCCACTCTAAAGTTGAAATGATACATTTTTAAAAAATGATTAATTTATATTTTCCCGCGGTCGCTCGTATCGTCTAAGGATTTTCCCGGATTCGTCTAACGACCGGCGATTAGCCTTGATGATTGGTCGCAAGTCTCCTTGTTGACATTCCAACCTGATTTTTTGCTCTTCTCACCCATTTCACTGAAATCCGTCCAGTGAATACACTTTTCGGGATATTCCCTGGAATATTCGATAGATTTCAGCTTTGGGTAAACGCCCAACCAACTTGTACAAACTTTTTATTTCTAATGTATACAGCTTAAAGCGAAAACTTCAAAATAAATAAATTTAAACTAACTAAAGTAAGTAAACAAACCTTTGTTTCCAAAGGCAACTTTATATTATTTTGTTAAAATTAAAACCCATGAATTTTGTGCCAAAGCTTTTCGGATATTACGTTACCAGATGATAGTAACACATTCTCGGCAAAAACTCTACGGAATTCCAAATTCAGCTACATTCAATTTGATTCTTAAAACAATATTTATACTAAGTGACATATAAATCCGAACACCCAGTTTAAATGGTTTTATTTTAATAAAATTTTGTATAAGTACTTAATGAACCATAATAAGTAAATGATACAAATTTTAAAATGATTGCACTGCTTTAAAGCCCTTTGACCTTTAATAATGTGTGGATGCACCCTGATGTGCTACGCATTCTCCAACGCCCCTAGGCATGCTTCTGATCAGGTGGTCAATGTCCTCCTGTGGTATCTCATTCCAGGCAACCACCAACTCCTCTCGAAGTGCTTCTAGAGTCTGAGGAGGACGTTGCAAATTGAGCAATCTCAACATGTGGTCGGGCATTATCTTGTTGGAAAGTTGGATCTGCCAGGGTGTCAAGACTGTGGATTCCTCCTTTCACCACGTCGCCTTCTAACCCTGGCACGACCATCGTGCATGCCTAAACAAAATCGAGACTCGTCACTAAAGACAATACTGTTCCATTCCTGATCCCAGAGTGACCGTTGTCTGCACCACTCAAGGCGATTACGTCGGTGTTCTCGAGTTAAAGGGAGGACCCAGTGTGGCCGGTATGAAAACAAGCCAAAACTTCTCATTCGTCGGTAAACACTTCGCATGCCAATAGGTCTTCCGTGTTCTGCAAACCATTCATTTGCAATGGACCTGGTAGTGGAGAAACGGTCCCTTAAGGCCAATAATCTTAGGCGGCGATCTTCACGGTCTGTTGTTCTACGGCGGCGTCCAGTGCCACTTGCTCTTTGCGTACGGCCTTCTCGAAGCTATGCCTGACAACACCTAACCACAGTGTCTACACTTCTTTGCACTCTAACTGCAATTGCCCGAAAAGAAAGTCCAGCTTCGCGAAGTCCCACTATACGGCCCCTATCAAACTCACCAAGTTGACGAAATCGTACAGGTCTCCCTACTCTAGGCATCGTAACCGATCGTAAAGGATGTCAAGAACCAAAATCCGCCAACGTTGATTCTTTACTGCGGCTGAAATATTCATTTTTAGAGCGTTAGTGAATTAAAAAAAGCAGTATAAAAACCGGAATGTCCAACTGATAAGGCTGAACATTTTTTCACTTGTTATTTACAGTAAGATAAATACATTCACCAACTTTTATTAAAATAAAACCATTTAAACTGGGTGTTCGGATTTATATGTCACTTAGTATATAATGGTGCTATAATAGCACTTTTTCAATCTTTCTCAATGTAAAACTGAGGCCAAAGTAGCGCAGCGCTATGCACAGAAAAGACAGAAAAAGAGATAGATAGGCAGTATCTGGTGAAAAAACGCATGTCTGTGTAACATCAACACATAATCGAGATCCACTGGGTGGTACCTCCTCGTTCAACTGAGATAATTTGCCACAAAAATAAATCACAGCATCGATAGTTGGGAAAAAATTTCTAATACAGAATTTGAGCCTGCATATTTTGCAGCAAGTTTTAGAAACAAATCGATAAAGATAGTGAAGACATCTTCCTCATTTCTTGT